GATGCTAAAAAGAAGCTAGGTGGATACCTAAGCCCATTTGGATGATTGGACCGTTCATATTTAGAAAAACTGCCTGACGCATCCAGCCCGATAAACCTATTAGGCGAGTTGCTCCACGTTGGACGCTGGAGCTTTTTTGTTTTTTTCTTTTCACGCACGGTTGAAACCTTAAAGCTTAAATTTGCCGCCTCCAAGGTTCAAACACATGACTTTAAGTAGCTTTTCAATAAGCTTTGCCACCAGAACATCACCTCTAGAATTGATGTTTTTTGCTTAAAATTTTATTTCTTTTATTTTAAGAAGAAAATAATTGAAATTTTCATTTAAGGGAATGGAGCTCAACTCCCTTGAACTTTCTCAAGTTTTTCCTTAAGAGCTGAATTTATATATATATTAATATGAAATTTTTGCCTTAATATTATTAATATTTGGATGAATTTTATGAGATTTTATATAGTTTTCATTCTTTGTGAAGAAAAGGACTTGAATGCATAATAATAGGAGTTTTTGAGATTAATTGAATATCTTTTAAAAGTTAAGGGACTGAATTACAAGAAGAACAGCGCCACTTTGGGACCTAAATGAATGAATCTTGAGTTTTGGGATATAAACGCTCATGTACAAAAGTTGGAGGACCACATCTGCTATTTTATCATTGAAGAAATTGCAAAAAGAGACCATAAACTCGACACGGGTGTAGTGTCAACACAAAATCGGGTTGTCAACACCATGAGTTAAGCGTCCAAAATTAGACTTTTTGTTTCCTATTGAGTGTCGACAGGTAATTCGGGGTGTCAGCATCATGTGTTTAGCGTCCAAAATTCAAGTTTTTTATTCTGTTTCAAATCCCACTACTATTCCAATTAGGGTTTTTAAAATCTTATAAATACCCATTCAAATTCAAAATGGAAAGAGCTAGTGGAAGCCTGTGGCAACTCTCTTTTGGGCATTATTGGAGATCAAGATAGAGGTTTCATCAATAATAGAAGATCAAAGAATTTAATTCTCTCAAATTAGATTTTGTTTTTCCTTAGATTCTTTCTATCTATTGTTTGATATTTGAATGTTCATAATTATGATTTCAAGTTTTATTATTTTATTATGAACTGATTCAGTTAACTAAGGTTAAGATATAGCTTAATCAATTCAATATAGATTTTTATGATTTTTACACTTTTGATATTACTATTCCATGATGAGTATATATTATTGTTCTTAATGCTGTTTAATGCTTGATCATCGTTAAAACTGATTGGGAGAGCATAATTGAGTTCGAGAGAAGATTTTATATAATAACTTTTAGTAATATATATCATGAATTGAACGAAAGTCAAAGATGAACCAATGTGATTCGTGCAGCATTAGTGATAAGTGGTTTAATTTTCTATGTAAATTAGGTAATTTCACAGAAAATAGTGCATCTTTATCTATTTAAATTCACATAAAGATATAGTGAGTTAATAGATTAGGATAAGTTTGGTATAACTTGAAAAAATATATCGAATATGATACAAAATTTTGCTGTCACATGAATAATAACATCTTAAAAGTATAATAATTGAAAATTCATGTTAATTGGTTATGGTGAAATCGATGCTTTAGTACGTCATATCTTGATTAGTTTTATTTTAATTGTTATTTTAATTGTTATTTCCTTCTTATCATTTTTAATTAAAACTTCTTCTTTTTTTTTTTTCAATTGTTCAAATAAATTTAGATTAATTATTTTGGTACTTAATTAATCATAATCCCCATGGGTTTGACACTCTACTTATCATTATATTATTTGGAGCGACTAATACACTTATTAGAGTGATTTCAGCACACCAAGTTTTTGGCGCAATTGCCGGGGATTGTTGAATTTAATTAATATCGAAGTTAATTAATTATAGATTTAATTTGAATGTTTTCTTTTCTTTTATTTCTTTACTTTATTTTTTCTATTTTCTTTGTTTTTGTTTTTGTAGGCCTAACTATGAATCAAATTGTTAGATATCAATGTCTTGCTCCAGAATAAAGGGCACAAGTTAAAGCAATAACTATCAATTGGGAAGCAGAAATTAACAATGATGAACTTGAATAATTTCAAGTAGTCATTGAAAAGTGGGAATTAAAGAAGGCTATAATAAAGCAATTAAATATCACTTGTCAATGGTGTGGATTCGAACATTTCAATTCTAATTGCTATTTCAAACCATGTAACAAACATGTTGATTTTTCTTGTGATTTTCATAGCTAGCAGTATAATTCTTATCCCAATACATGCAACTTTGATTGGATAAATTATTAAAACTCCTCATGGAATAAGGAAGATATATTGGAGCCACAATCTAGGTTTCAAGCTCAAGAAGATAAGACATATTTGGATAGAAATTTGGAGGTCCAATCAAGTCATTTTCTCAACTTAGTTGCTGAATAAATACAAGGCGAGCTACCTAGTGCAACAATGAAAAATCAAAAAGAAGAGGTAAACACTTTACCCTTGGAGATTGGAGGACAACTGGAAGAAGTTGAAAGCATACCTACAGAAACTAAACAAGAGGATGTCCCTAAGGAAGAAGAGGAAAAAGCTCAAGTGTCATTGTGTCATTTGAAGTGTTCAATGAGGAGTCTCCATTAACCAAATCTGATTTTAATGATTATTTTGTTATTGATATAGTTGATGAGAGTTTGCAGGAAAAGACTTATGATGATCCATTTGAGATTTATCTTATTCAAGCAAAGGACCCAATCAAAGAATACATAAATTGCTTGAGCACATCCTCATCTTCCTTGGAATCAAAGGAGGCACTCCTAGAAGATTTGGGAAGGCACATCTCTTGGCTTAAACCCAGCCCACCATAGTATAGTCATTGGAGAAAATCTTATGGTGGATTCAACTTAAAGGCAAAAAAGCTAAGATTTAAGAAAACGAGAGGACATGCTCTACGACCTAATCCAAAACCACCTTGGAGTGGTCGAAAGTCTAACTTATGAATATAAATTAAGCGCTTCTTGAGAGGTAGGCAACCCAAGCATAAAATTTTCTTTTCTTTTATTTTTTTTTCTATAGTTTAGATTTTCTTTTATTTTTTTTTTCTTTTTATAGCCCAGGTTGATGCATAAATATGGAGAAATTAACATCTCACTAAGAGGTGAATTTATTTGATTAGTTGAGTATTTTAGTTTATAAATTGTTGTTCTTTGATTTTGGCCAAGGCATTGAACAAGTTTGGGGGATGAGATTATGGAAATTCACATGCTTGAAGTCTTCAATTGAAAAGAACTCAACTTTAGAACTTAAGTCTTCAAGTGCAAAACCTGGGAAGTTTCTCTCTTCTCTTACTTTTATTTTACATTGAGGACAATATTTGATTTAAGTTTGGGGGAGAGAATAACTTTTAGGTGTCCATTCTTACATTAGTTTGCATTCATATTTGCATTACATACATTTTTTTTTCTTTTTTTAGAAATTGGGATTTTTTTTTAGGAGTTGGTCCAATTAGTGTCAAGGAATTAAATATTCTTGAGTTGGAAATTCAAAAACTTTTAAAATCTTTGAATCTTAGAGAAAATACAAAATTTGAAAAATAGCACGATTGTGATGAAGTTTAAGTTCATGAGTATTATATTCTACTTGAGCATAAGTTTGTAGTGAGAAGTTTAGAGAAAAGACTTAGTAGCACCTAAAAAGGCACATAAAAGAAAAAAAAAAAAGAAAGAAAAAAGAAAAAGAAGCAAATAGAAAAGAATTTGTTAATTTCTACTCCAATGTTTCTAGTTGCTTAGTAATTGGGCATTAGGCATGAGACCCATGTCAGCTTTCACGTTAAACAACAACTTGAAATACGAGTATGCAAAGCACTTTAAGTTTATGACTTATTGAGTAACCGAGTGCTTTCATTACAAATGTTAGTATTTCCATCAAAAGACAAGTGATACTCAGGGAAGAATGAAGTTGAATATTTCGTGGCCTTTGTTACTTAAGTAAGTAAGTATATATATAGAAAAATATTTATCAGCTGGATCTATAAAAAATTAAGTAGAAAAACACCCCAAAATTATATTATTTCAATAAATTCTTTTTAAAAGACTAAAATATCCTAATTTTAAAGTAATAATGAGACTATTTTAATTCTACTTTTTATCATATTTTATTAAAACAACATAATTTTAAGTATTTTTTTATCTAATTATTTTACAAATCAAGATGAGAGAAACATTAATTTCACATACACATATATATATTTGCATTATTGGAGTGTAAAGGACTCAACTACAGTTTTTGATTTGTAAAATGTGAAACCGTGCAAGGGGATTTTATAGCATTCTCACAATTATAAATTATAAATTAAAAACCAAAATCAAAAACAAAAAATTGAAACCCTAATTATTTTGTACAATTCTTTGAAACTCACAACCAAAGTTTGAAAACCAGTTTTAGTTGATTTTTCTATCAGTTTATAACAC